CAAAGAAGGCCACTTCATATTACTGAGGGAATAATTCAACAAGAAAATATAACCTTTGTAAACATATATGCATTCATTATAGGAGCACCCAAATACATTAAAAAACTCTTGATGGATTTTAAGGGAGAGATTGACAGCAATACAGTCATAGTGGGGTACTTTAGCACCCCACTGACATCACTGGGTAGATCTTCCAGACAAAAAATTAACAAGGAAACATCAATAATTCCAAGAGCTGGTACTTTGAAAAGATAAACAAGATTGATGAACCCTAGCCAGACTCATCAAGAAACAAAGAGAGAGGACCCAAATAAATAAAATCAGAAATGAAAGAGGTGATATAACAACAGACACCACAGAAATACAAAGGATTGTAAGCAAATAGTATGAACAACTCTATGCCAACAAACTGGACAGCCTGGGTGAAATGGACAAATTCCTAGAAACATGCAATCTTCCAAAACTCAATCAGGGAGAATCAGAAAACCTGAGTAGGCCAATAACAACTGATGGAATTGAAGCAGTAATTTAAAAACTTGCAGCAAACAAAAGTCCTGGACTGGTGGATTTACAGGTGAATTTTACCAAACATTCAAAGAAGAACTAACACCCACCTACCTCAAACTTTCCAAAATAACAAGAGAGCCCACCGCATGGGAGAACATATTTGCCAATGATACATCTGCTAAAGGGCTAATCTCCCAAATTTATAGGTAACTAATACAACTTAACAAAAGGAAGATTTAAAAAATCCAATTTAAAAATGGGCGAAAGACCTAAATAGACACTTCTCTAAAGTGGACGTACAGAAGGCCTACAGGCATGTGAAAAAAATGTTCAAAGTCACTAATCATCTGAGAGATGCAAACCAAATCAACAATGAGGTACCATCTCACAAGTGTCAGAATGGCTAGCATCATCAAATCAACAAACAACAAGTGCTGGTGAGGATGTGGAGAGAAAGGAACCCTCGTACACTGCTGGTGCAGCCACCATGGAAAACAGTATGGAGTTTCCTCAAAAAATTACAAATGAGACTCCCATTTGACCCAGTGATCCCACTTCTAGGAATACATCCCAAGAAACCTGAAACACTCATCAGAAAGAATATATGCACCCCTAAGTTCATAGCAGCACAATTTATAATAGGTAAGATTTGGAAACAGACTAAGTGCCCATCAGCAGATGATGGGATTAAAAAAGGGTGGTATATCTACACAATGGAATACCATGCTGCTATAAAAAAGAAAGAAGTCTTACTATTTGCGACAGCATGGTTGGACCTGGAGACCATTATGCTAAGCGAAATAAGCCCGTTGGAGAAAGATAAGTATTCCATGATCTCACTCATTTGTGGAATATAATGAACAACATAAACTGATGAACAAAAATAATTCCAGAGACACAGAATCATCAAACAGACTGGCAAATCTCAGAGGGAAGTCAAGGGAAGGTGGGCAGGGTGGGAGGATGGAGGAGGGGGGGGGGGTAAGAGATCAACCAAAGAACTTGTATGCATATAAGCATAACCAATAGACACAGACAATGGGGGAGCGGTGAAAGCCTGACTGGGGGGTGAGGGCAGGCTGGGAGAGGACAATGGGGGGAAAAGAGGACATATGTAATACTTTCAACAATAAATAATTTTTTAAAAGTACCATTTAAATGTATAGTTTAAAATTTTTAAATAAATTGACAGAATTATGCATCTATTACCAAAAAACAAAAAACAACAACAACATTTAGACTATTCTTTGCTCAGTCTAAGTCTTTGTCTCTTAATGGGAGGATTTAACCTATTTACATTAGTGTGATATTTAGATATATTGGGCTTATCCTATTTTCCTAATCTTTGTATTTTCTGTTAATTACATGTTCTTGTTGCTTCCTTTCCTTTCCCCCTTATTTTGCCAGAATGAACCAGTTTTCTTTGGTCCTTTTCTTTTCCTATAATGATGTAAAGTTATATGCTCTGCTTCTGTTTTGCAAGAGCATATTTATCAATTTTATTAGTTACTAGAGGCCCAGTGCACAAAATTTGTGCACTCGGGGGGGGGGATTTCTCTGCCCCGCCTGTGCCCTCTCAAAGTCTGGGAGTCCTTGGGAGATGCTTGACAGCGGAGGTGGGAGAGGCTTCCACCACTGCTGCTGTGCTCGCCAGCCATGAGCCTGGCTTCTGGCTGAGCGGCGCTCCCCCTGTGGGAGTGCACTGACCACCAGGCAGCAGCTCCTGCATTGAGTGTCTGCCCCCTGTTGGTAAGTGCATGTCATAGCGACTGGTCATTCCGCTGTTTGGTCGATTTGCATATTAGCCTTTTATTATATAGGATACCTCTTTAAAAAATCCAAGGCATCAATGGTAGCAATGAAGAGATAACACTAATGTTGGAGGAGAGTAATGAAATTGATATTTTCACACATTGTTGGTGGGAATGTAAATTTTTATCCTGTGTTTCTAAGTGTTTATAGTGAGGGGATGAGGAAAGTAGCCCTGATTACATGGTTTAAGCCAGGGAGGGCCTGGGGATGTGGTCAATTTCATCCAACCTGCAAAACTAAAGGATGAAATTTCCAAATGAAAAATGAAGTATTAATAGTGAGAAAGGATAAAAATAGATGCTGTCACAACAACCAATATCCTCTATAATTGTCATTGTAGTATGTTATATCTGAGAAATGTGAATCATGTAAATGTGCATTATAGGGAACTGGGTAAATAGACGATGGAACATC